TGTACCGCAAGGCATTGAGATTGCCTGCAATGACAACAAGCTCAGTCCGATGGTGATGTGATATACCGCCCCAGACCATGACGGACCCCCCACCTCCAAATCGATCCCGCTCCAGAGTACAGGCCTCGGTGTAACGCTCATTCCTTCGACGATAAACACGAATCCGTCCATCACCCCTGGTGAGACAAAACCGTGACTCATCAGTGAAGAGCACTTTTTGCCATTCCTGTCTGGTCCAGCGAAGGTGGGTTTGTGCCCATAGGCATTGGTGCTGGTGATGTCTGGTAAGGACCTGCCTTACAACAGGCCTACAAGCCCTCAGTCCAGCCTCTCTCAGCCTATTGCGGACAGTCTGAGCACTGATGGAGGGATTGTGTGTTCCTGGTGTGACTCGGGCAGTTGTTGTGGCCATCCTGTACCTGTCACGCAGGTGTGATATTCGGATATACCGATCCTGTGCAGGTGTTGTTACACGTGGTCTTCCACTGCGAGGATGATCAGCTGTCCTTCCTGTCTCCCTGTAGCGCTGTCGTAGGCGTCTCACAGTGCGGACATGGCAATTTATTGCCCTGGCCACATCAGCAGTCCTCATGCTTTCCTGCAGCATGCCTAATGCACGTTCACGCAGATGAGCAGGGACCCTGGGCATCTTTCTGTGGGTGTTTTTCACAGTCGGTACACAAGTCTCTTTAGTGTCCTGCGTTTTTAGAACTGTGACCTTAAGTGCCTACTCTCTGTAAGCTGTTAAGGTCTTAATGACCATTCCACAGGTGCATGTTAATTAATTGATTATGGTAAATTGAACATGCATGGAAAACATTGTTTAAACCCTTTACAATGAAGATCTGTAAAGTTGTTTGGATTTTTATAACATTATTGTTGAAATACACAGTCCTGAAAAAGGGACGTTTCTTTTTTTGCTGAGTTTATATGCTTATGCAATACTGTTGTATTAACATTCATGCCAATAAAGCAATGAATTGAACTAAATTGAGAAAGGGTTTTTTCCATTTGTGTTAATATTTTTGCCATATTGGAGTTGTTGGCTTACATAAGCTGATTTGGAGCCAGTTACAAGAAAGTTTTAGTTGGGGTGATCTTCACAAGTCATTTTGTGCAAGTCCAAGCAAGTCTTAAGTCTTTGATCAGGTGTCAAGTCCCAATTCTATTTTTGGAATAATAAGTGTTTCATCCGCTGTGCATCAGGTTAGAAATAGCCACCGTGCAACATGGTTATTTTTAGGGAATGCACTTTGTTTTGCTTGTTGATTATCTCTAATTTAACCATTCCTGTTTAATACAATTGCTTCTAACTTTTTTATCTACATGAATGTTTTGATAAGATCACTTTAAAATATCATACTCACTAGCTGCCTAAAATAAGAGATAAGATGCTCCTTTACTGATCCCCTTTAGGGGAAATTCAAATTGGTACAGCAGCACAGGGGAAAGCAACAAGAAAGACCAAAAATATGACAAAGGTAGAGTCAGTAAACTGAGTCTGTCAGTAGCCAACCAAACTGCTTGCTTTGATATGAAGGGGGCTGCATATGATTTGCCTTCTCCAACAGCTTGATTGTTCCTAAAGTATCTATAAAGATAATCCTTACAAATTAAGAATTATTGTGGCAATAACACTGGAGCAGAAATATTTTATTTCTGGGGGACACAACTCTTGCCAAAGGAGGCGTGTGCGTCCTCATTGATTTCTAACCACACATCACACAGTACGTAGAAGAAATGTAAAAAACTAAAATAAGAATGGCTTTTGGAAAAGTCACAGGGATTTTAAGTCGTGCAGCTCCACTGCAGAGAAATTTGTGTTTTTGTACAAACTTGAAAAACATTTCCTGAAAATAGTTGTTTCTTCTGTCTATTTTTGTGCCTCTAGAAAGACAACAATGGCTATGGTAATCAGAATACATTATTTAGTTTGGATATTCACTTGGGTTACATTACTGATTGCAGCTTTGATCTAGTAATGTAATGGGACACTTTCAAAGAACCTTAACACCCGGAGTTTAGATGCAGTAAATCTTTTAATTATGATCAAAGGTGTTTTGTTCTGTTTGAGAGAACAAAGATAGCGATTTCAAATACATAAATGATGCGTTTTGAATTTTGAACTATTTATTCAACAAATCATTCAGTGAAACACCATTTTCACTGGTGTTTTGTCAAGGATCAATTAAATTTTTGAAATCTTCACTTCTTAGAATCAGGAGAAACTCACATCCACTTCTGAGGTAAACTACAGTTTACCTTGACTCCATGGCGTCAACCCAAACCACCATATTGGACGGGTCACGTAATTCCGGCTGAAATGGAGAGCCTTGTCCAGACTATCCAACCTATTTCTCAATAATAGCCTGACTGAGCTCTCTGAAGAGGCCAATTCTGGCCAGCAAGGTCCACTTAAATTCTCCGTGAGACAGAGGAAGAGAGAATAGGGTCTATGGAGCCACTTAAAAACCCCTGGGTGAAAATGGGATTTCTGACCTGCTCCACTGGTGCTGCAGCACTACAGCCAGATTGCCTGTCAAAGCGCTGCCAGGTGGGAATGGGTAGGGCACGGGTGGGGGGATGGAAGAAATGGGTTGATGCTGCTGTTGATGGTGTAAACCGCCAGGACCTCATTAGCTCAACATTTCATCAAACACCATGGCACCAGGGTGGCTCTCACTGCCTCCACATATCTTTTTCTCTTTCTCACTTTTCTTCCCTCTGTCTTCTTCTCTTTCCTACCTCTTCTTTTCCCCTCTCCTCTCCATCTTTCTCCCCCCTGCTCCGAAAGGTCTCATTAACTAGATGGGTCTGTTATGCTGGTAATCTGCCACTAAGTCAAAGTCAGCAGATGAGGACACACACATACATCCAGCTATAATCATTTGCTCTTGTTAATGCCATGAAAATGTTAATTTGTTGTTATGTAAATAACCACCATATTTCTGCTGGGGGGATATTTCAGGATGCATCAGGTCTGATTTACATTGCATTGATTTTCAAAGCAGTATTTGTGTGGAAGCAAGGGAAATCCCATATGCACATACAAAGTTCACATGTAGCAGCCTCACTCACACACACACACACACACACAGAGCAGCTTAACATACACAAATAGGTCTAATGTTAATGATTTATGTGCATGCACACCCTCAAATGAGCATACTATAGGGAAAAAGAGGCCACAAACTCATTGAAACTACTTCCAGTGACAGGTGCTCTTAGCAACAACGGGATGATTGTGTGACTGTGTAAAGTCACAAAACAGAAGAATAATCAGGAGGATGTCAAAATGTTATGTCAAAATGTTATTTTCATAATTACAGTCATATATGTAATTTCAGTTAACAAAATGCCAGGGTGGTGGAACATGCCAGGGACACATGTATGACTCTACTGCTCAGATGTAGGGCTGAAACTGTTATTTTCAGTATTTATTAATCTGTCAATTCTCTTCTTGTTTAATCACTTTGGCCTACAAGATGCCAGGAAATAGTGAAACAATTATTTTTGTCTTATTTAAATTTTTAATATATAATTTATTTATTTTTAACATACACAGACACACGCACACACATATATAATCATTATTATTATTATTATTATTATTATTATTATTATTATAGTGATTAATGAACTGTATAAAATAAATTGTTCTTTTTGTAATTTAGTTGTAGCTTTGTCAATATTGCTGTGTCATTCGTGCCAATAAAGCTAGATTGAATTGAATTGATAATACATGTGAAGGATGTGCTTTTAGTGGCTGTGGCAGTGTTTGTTTAATTTTGTTTGATCTTTGATTTTTGAAGAATATATTTCATAGATATTTCTCTATATTTATAGATAAGAAAAAGAAAAAGGGGTGATGATATGACAGCTCTCACCAATCAAGCAGAAAAACAAAGAACAGGAGGCCACAGTGTTTATTTAACTTGAAGCAAAGTAAAAAATATATATAATTGTCAAGTACACTGAAATGCTTGTGCCCTGGCTGTCTCATCCTTGTGTTCATAAATAAATACAGACCATCCATACAATATATTTACATTTAAAGCCCACAACAACCCTCACAGCCCACAGAACAGTAATAAGTTACAACCCACATGACCACATACCCAGTGCACTCACATGTAACATTGCGTTCATAGTATTTACAAAAAGTGATACCTACTGTATGTACTTGTACAGGATCCCATGTGCCTTTATATACAGTAATTTGTACATTCATGAAACAAAAGAAAGGCATACCAGGTTAATGAAATCCCCTGATCAGGTGGGAAGCAGCATCTGGTTGTTCTGGTATCTCACTCTTAATGGTACCAAAACAAGTACCAAACTGATTTGTGTGGGAATTTAATCCACATATAAATCATATGTATTATGTTATTATCAGTTGTATCTGTGCACTATAAAATATATTATATGCTAAATACTTCGTAGGTCCAGATTTGATAAGAATTCAGTATGCATTTTATGCATCAGAACTGTTGTTGTTTTGGAGGTAAACACACATTGCTCTGTTGTGTGCGAGTGGGAGAAAGATTTAAGGTGAATCCTTTGTAAGACCCCGGGGTTTCTACCAATCGCAAAGCAGTTTGACAAGCTACATATCCCCAGGAGGCTCTGTCGCTACCCATTTGTCAACAAAGCATTTTCATCCTCAAACACATAGTGAAGCTTTTTACCAAAGTTCCCCTAGGTGTGCATTTCTGTCTGCTTTGCATATTTCTGTATAAACCAGGGCTTGAGAGAACTTTGAGAGCATATCTGACTTATGAAAAAAAGAGTTTGTGAACAAATGTAGAGTCTGTAGAGTTTATAACAAATATGGTGCAAAACTAACATAAAGATTCTGCTGGCAGTGCTGCGGGTACTTCCACAGGGAATCAGGAAGCCAAATATTTTGATGCACAGTACATATTTGTGTTTGTTGAGAAAGTTTATTTTTCCCTGTTTACTTCCTTCATGTTTTTTTTTATCTTGCTTCCATCAATCAGCCTCTCAGGATGCACTGCCAGACCTGCGCCCTGGTGACCAGCTCAGGTCACCTCATCGGAGGCGGCCGGGGTGAAGAGATTGACCGGGCCGAGTGCGTCATCCGCATGAACGATGCCCCCACTGCCAGAGGCTACGCCCGAGACGCCGGTCGCCGCACCTCTCTGCGCGTCATCGCTCACTCCAGTATGCAGAGGGTCCTGCGGAGTCGCCACGAGCTGCTCAACGCCAGCCAGGACACGGTGTTCATCTTCTGGGGCCCCAGCAGCTACATGAGGCGCGACGGGAAGGGCCTGGTGTACAACAACCTGAGACTGATGAACCAGGTGCTGCCCAAACTCAAAGTCTACATCATCTCCTGGCAGAAGATGCTGCAGTTCGACGAGCTCTTCAAGAAGGAGACGGGCAAGGACAGGTGAGGGAAAGAGAAGAGGGATTGATATCGCAATGAATATATAGGAATGCAATAAGGAGGAAAGCTGATTTTGACCTTAAGATGCATGGAGGACAGCGCATTTAGCCAACAACAGTAGGTTAATACAGTTTATCAGGGAAATATTCCAAACATTTGTTGGTTCAAGATTATCAAATGTCAGAATTTTCTAATTGTAAACATGAGTATCTTTTGAATTTTGAAATAAGCAGCTTCGCTTTGGGCTTTTCATTGTTTTCTGACATTTTATTTACTCATTAAATTGTAACAAAAAACCAATAGATTAACCGATAATGAAAATAAGGTTTAGTCGCAGTGACATTATATTGTGATCATGTTTTGTTTTGGTTAAAAGATATTACCAAACAGATAAGTGTCAAGGGGGAAATTAAATACTATAACTAGTGCTTGAGGGCTACTTCTCCGCATGTTACAATTTCTGTGCAACCGAGTACCTTTACTTATTACTCAGTACCACAACTTTCTAAGGTGTAGTTATTGTAAGGATTGGGCAAACTGCTCAAAGAGTCTACAAGAAGTGCAAAAATGTGCAGCAGAGTGAGGAAGAATATGTGACTCAGTTTAGTTGGATTTCTCCTCTGTGCTCCAAAAATCTATTTCTTTAAGTCGTCTGAAAGGGGCTATATGTAGTTTTTTAGGAAATGAATCACTTTTCTATTGCCTGTGTGTGAACGGGTTGTAACCTTACATAAAAATGAGCCATTCACCGGCTTTCTCGTTGCCTGTGATGGCCAGTATCTTTTTATGTGAAGAAATTGAGTAGGATTTTTTGCGAAATCCACTGGATTACGTAGGATGTTCTTGACTAAAAAAATGCTCCCGTCACAACACAGACTCCACTCAGGACTGTTTGGTCAACATCGGAAAAGCTTGAGTCACAAAGAGATCTCCGCTTTGTTTTGAATATAAAAACTGACAAAGAGTTGGCTTTCATGGTATTGAACAGGTAAACTAACATTACTGCAAAGCATGTGAGGTATATTGTAATTGTGTGCTCTCAGTGGCTCAAATCAGATAACGTTAGCCAGCGTTATCTTTTGCAAAATACTACAGATGTATGGCTCTTCACATTACTTCTCTAGCTAACGCAGCCAGCTAATGTTAGCACAGACCTGCTGCTGTTTGCTTTGTAACATTCAATTTAGATTTATTGCTGATTTACTGATACTCAGGTACATAGCATCTCCACCGTCTCATTCGCTGTAACTTACGTGACCCACATAATAAACAATAATGCAACATAACAGCACAGGACAACACAAAAGTGGAAGACCCATTCACCACAGTAATGTTACTCACCCCATCTGTTATAAAGTGTGACAACAGTGTTATTCAGGCTAGCTCACTAACCATTATCATCCAATAAATTTAGCGACGCTGACATTGCTGAGCCTGTTTTTAAGGATACACAGTTATTAAAAAGTTGCAGGCTATCTAACGCCGACATATCATGTGAAACCTGAGTTTCAAGCATCTTGTGTAACGCTGTCTCTCTGTTGTGGCTCACTCATTAGATTGAGCATGCAGATGATAACATGCTTGGGAATGTAGTAATCTGAAACCTCACTGCTAGGGGCCGCTGAAAACTACAGATAGCCCCTTTAACAAAACATTTTTCAATAATTTGTACTAATAAATTATTATGAATAAAAACCTCTATAGTCAGTCTCTATTGTATAAATGCAATTGCATAAAACAATAAAAGCCGTCCCACACATAGAAAACAGAGTTCTAGTCAACTAGTTCCAGTCATAGACTGTATATAAAATTCCAGTACAGTCGTTATGTGACAATGCAACATAATTTCAATAATAATAATAATAATAACTTCAGGGAAACACGGTCAATATTTTTTTAACGTGTTTAGAGGTTCTTCAATATACACAACAACAAACAGTTCAGTAATATTCCATTTCTTCTACCAACGCTATTAGTATTTTGTACCCTCAAATGTGCATTAATCATGCCCCCAAATTTATTTTTAATCCAATTCAAACTCTGACTCTAACAACAAGAACACATATTTTACCAGACTACACCCAATGTCTAAAGATAGCTGTTTCTTTTCTCTAAAAAAACTTTATGAAAAATGTAAAAGAAAAAAAACATCTGCTTTGCTTGTGTGTGTTGTGCAAATAGTTTAGAAAACAGTTTTTGTTTCGGCAACACCTTCTCTCAAGCTGAACAGTGATAAAGGATAAATAAAGAGTCCAAGCTGAGTTCTCAGTCCCCATGGCCATTCATGGTTAATGAAAACGCTACACACTCTGTTTGTGTCTCTCTCTCTTTGTCTGAGGCTTTGTCAATGGCGACTGACTCTGACTTCAGCTTAAGATAAGTGTCAAGGGGGAAATTGCCGAGTATTGGATTTGGTGAATAGCTCCGACAGCCATCCTTCAGGATCTGTGCCAACAATCATGGTAAATGTTTACAGTGAGCAAGCGGCTTCTGTCGTACTGTTATCCCATCATAGCATTAGGCATTAATATCTTTGAGGTCATTTCTGCTCTGTGGAGTGTGGTAATATACAGTAAGAAATTCTAAAAGTATTACTTTTAAATCTTTTTAATGTTTGAAAAAAACATAAAGAAAGCAATCAGTATGCAAAATATGCCATACATGAGATAAAATATTTTTACCTAATTTATAAAATTAATCCTCTTGTCTCGTAAGGATTGGGAGCCTGTGTGAGAAGCATTAATAGCAGAACGTCTGTGTAATCAACTGTGTGATCGGCAACCCTGCAAGGCTGTAATTGTGATTATGGGTTATGCCATTTCAGTGAAGGTAATTAAGATGGTGTGGGATGTTGTCACATCCACCCATTTTAATAACACCAGCAGAGTAGCAATGAAAAACAGGTGTCCCTCTGCATCCCCTGTGTTAAATTGCCTAGCCGGAATGAGCCTCACCAGGTGATTAAAGACAAATTGGCTTTTGAAATAACTTTTTTTTGTCTATTCCATGTTTTATGTTCCCATAATGCTTTATTGTAATCACTAACAGCCCCGCTGTGTTACACTTTTAGATTTCTATTTGATACATTTGGGCTGAGTAGTGGTGTAGTTTGATGGAATAAAATGTGTGGGTGGCAGGTTAGAGACCGTTCCAAAATATTGCTGGTTTGATCACTTTAGCAGCAAGTCTACCTGGTGTCGAGAAAAAAGCTGAAAAAATGCCAGCTTAAGCTTCAGCAATCCTGGAAAACTATTCTGTGGTGACTTGAGGAAAGGTCAAACAGAGGAACAGGGAAGCCACAGCAGGCCCACTGAGCAACAAAGAAGAATGCAGCAGCTACAGGAGCTGAGAGACACAGACCTGGGAAGAACAATCAGCCTCACAAGCTGAAGTGGATCTAGACTCAAGATCCACTTCAGCTTGGTGTATGAATAAAAAGAAAATGCAACAGAGTGCAGAAGAACCAGAATAAATCACAAAGTACATGAAGCATATGAGACTTAAAGGTCCAACTTTCTTTAAATTAATACATAAAACAAACATAAATGCAATATTTCCACCATGGTTTCCATATAGTTTTCCATCACAGCTACTGTTTATCTCGATGCTCTCAAGTTTTCTTATAGTGCTGTATTCAAAGTTTTTTGTATGGTTTTATCTCAGTTTTTTAAAGATGCATAGGATAACTTAATGGTATTGTAACCGAGCGTCCTGGGTTCGCTTAACTAAACTTAATAAGGAAACAATAAGCGGTTCAAACTTCTGAATTTAAACATTGTTATTTATTTGCATCATTTTGTTGTAATAAACCACATAAAATAAACCCCCTGCCTCTTCCCTCCCAAAGAACTCCATTGTTCAAAAACTGTGAATCACTGCAACCACGAGAGGTCCTTGAGAATACAGTCATAAATGTGCACAAATATATTGAATATGTGAGATTAGCTGCGGAGAGATAAACAAGCACACACACCCACACAAACAGTGGTGTTTCCATAACCTCAGGGGACATATCACTGACTTACATTCATTCCCCGGAGACCCTAACCATAACCACTACTTGCCTAAACCTAACCTTACCCTAACATTAAACCAAATCTTTACCTTAAAATGTATTGCTTAACATTTTGGGGACTCGCATTTTGTCCCTGGAAGGAAAAAGAGTCTCCACAATGTGACTATGTAAACAGATTAATGTCCCCGCAACAATTGTAATTACCGCCCACAGACACACACACGACCAAATGCATGATCTCTTAATGCGCCAGGTGGAGATAATTAGTTTAATAAAAATATGTAATCCAGCCAGCATCATGTTTCCTTCAAACATATTTGCTGTTGCATATTAGTTGTATATAAACCTAATTTGACATGCCCGCTGTCATGGCTTACTGAGACATTGTTAACACAATTTGTGTTACCTGTGCTTTTCCTGCTTGGACCAGTTGGATTCCAACCTACATCTGCTTGGTTATTTTAAATTGTACTCCTTGGGTTTTTCTGTGATCAAATGTAACAGCAAAATACTATTTGTTTAAAAAAACAGTTTTTAATATTTTTTAATCATTTTCAGTATCTCCACTAGCAATTAATGGTTGAAATGAACAACAAGTAGCCTGCAACGGGGTAATTCCTATGTTACCAAGGTCTTATGTTCCCCAGATTTATATGGCACATAAGAACATGACAAAGGGGCCTATGTTCCCCAGTTCTAAGGTTTGGGGCTAGATTGTTAGGATCCTGTGAACATAGATAATCTATGGAAAAGGAAAATCAAACCGAAGCAGAAAAGAAAGTCTGTTGCTGGAAGAGAATGAACATCAGAAAATAATACAAAGAACATGGCATAAAAGAAGTTCCAAACAAAAGAAATACCAGCTTTATTCTTGCCATTTTCACCCAGGAATGCAGAAATGGGAGCTGTGCTATAGATTGCTGTAGACACAGACGGCCTTGGAGAAACTGAAGTACGTAAAATCAGTAATCAACACCAAACAAGCTCT